GCCAAGGAGAAGGCTGAGTTTCAATGTTCCTTCTCGATAGCCAGAGAATCTGAGTCACCAGTTTCAAGATAATTATCTAAGTTTAAGAGTGGAGATATTTCTCCAAAGAAAGAAGGAAAGAAAAGACTTAACTAGGTTTACTAAAAAGATTAAGAATTTTGCAAGTAATGGGCCATATCACTGCCAGCCTTTCTGCCTGGAAGAAAGCCTCTGGCCCTCGCTCTGCAACTCAGCATCCCTCTGTAAGTCCCTGGTGCCCCCCGAGCAGCCTACTGGGTGCTGGTGCTCTGAGTGAGCAGGTCCATCACTGTGAAAGATACAGCCTCTTCAAGAGGCGTCTGCAGCTGTCGGCTGCTGCTGCCATAGCCTCTGTCCCATTCAGTTGCTCAGGACTGGGCAGCCTTGCATCCTCGCCCTGTCCTACCTCCATAGGCAGGGTGATTTATTTCTCTCCCTCGTTGCAGGGCTTGTTCATCTAGACCCCAGGCGACAATGCTTGCTGTTTGCTCCATGTTTTCATCACAACTTTGATTTGGTTGCAAGGGGGATGAACAAAGCCTCTATATCATCTATGCCATTTTGACTTCTCTCTGGCACAGCCTGCATGGCTTCTTTTTAATCCTCTTTTTGGGAAATTTTTATTGATGTAATTGTAGCTTGTGCAGTTGTAAGTTATAATACATAGATCTCTCATACCCTTTACTCAGTTCCTCCTGTTGTGGCCTGTATAGAATAGACCAAACCAAGTATGTTCTCAAAGGCTGTTTATTAGCCGGCGGCTGTCCTGTACAAAGAAGCAGCCCCGAAATGCCAAGATACAAGGTTTTTAAGCCCTAAATCCCATTCTTCATTCTATCTTAAACACAAAGGTCTATTTTTCTCTTATTCACTACCTGTCAACCCATTGGTCAGGTGTGCAAGCGGGGAGTACAGAAGCAGAAAACTTGTTGTTAGAATGTTATGTTCCTATGGGTGATTGCCTATGTTCCCATGGGCAATAGCCAGTATTCTCATGGGCAATGGCCAAACAGTAATTTTCAGCTTATATACAATTGATTATTTTTCATGCCACGCAAGCAAGCAGGGTTACACAGGCTAAAATTGGCAGTTAGCATATGAGCTCATTGTTACAAGTTTCATGATTAACAGAATGTGGTTAGGGGTTCCAGAAACTAGGCCTAAGGTATAAACTTCCTTTGTCCAGTTTCAGGTTTTAATTATACTTTAACCTTTTCACATTTCAGCAGGCTATCACACTCTCAATGAGAACATCTTGCAAAACAGCATATTATCCCACCCAGGATCAATTAACATTGATACAATCCTCCAACCTTATAGACATTTTCCTAGTTTTATTGTACTCATTTGTATGTGTATGTTTTTAGTTTTATGCAAATTTGTCATGGGTATTGGTTTGTGTCTTATTCTTTAGCATTTGTTTTGTAGCCTTGTAAAGGAAAAGAAGACAAGGTCAAGGGTTTATTCAAAATGGCAAGTCTAATAGGTAACTCCTGGATAAACAAGAGTCTCAAGGGACTCTACCCTGAGGGGAAAGATAATACAGAAATAGAACCTCAGCCCCAGGGAGCATAAAGAAAACTACTTTGAAAAACATGATATGTAGAAGGGTGAGGGGGAGTGTCCACTAATATTTTATAGCCATAAGCTCATCCTCATGATGGTTTTAGCTTAAATTAACACCACTTGGGTGGCTCAAAAAGTCTCTAGATCAAAGTTAACTTAAGTGGTTCTAGATTTATGTTACCTCCAGGCATCTGACAGAAGAAAATACATATGATTTCTGGAGAAACCTATATTCATTTCAGATCTCAAAGAATTTTCCATGGA